GGGGGGGGGGGGGGAGGATCCGCTAATGAATAGCATCTACCGGAAATTACTGTCTGACTAAACAGTGGGATTTTACTGTTACTCTTATAACGCATCCACGGCTCCAAAATGTGGAGCGTGTTTCTGCAAAAAGGGATACAAAAATTCAACCCCCGAATGAACAGTCTGAGCACGCTAATACTAGGCCAAGTGAGACCCACTTTTTAAGTCACACAGAATCAGTTTAGAAGACTATAGACGTGTACTCAATAAAAACAGTCTTCTAAAAATCTTTGTTTCTGTTAAAGGCTTCTAAAATAGAAATTACACAAAAACTGGTGTCCGTTTTATATTTTATCGAAATAGCTCATATTTAGTCTGAACAAAAAAAGGCTCACAATAAACGCTTTTAATAATATGAGAATACTAGCAGATACCCGCAAAAAGTTAGCTTTCAAATTAGTATACATTTATTGTAACAGTATTTCTTTAAATACAAGATTTGTAGAATAATTCAAACGAAATCTAATCGTAGACACTGAAATGTGTAAGTCCACTTGTATTTAGGTCCTTAACTAATGTTAGGCTTAAGTTGATAAAGAGATAAATTAGCATCATACTGTGTATATTTTTTACATTAGGCTAAGTTAGGACTAAACTGTATTGTACTTAATACTATCGATAAATAAACTTATAATGTTATTCTAGGACCTAACGTCAAATCTTTTCTAAAACTTTAAACGTTTAATGTTATTGTAATAAATGGTTAATAAAGAATAGTTACTTCCACCTGTTTTTGTTATTTCTTCATTCATAGAGCAGTTGCAGTGACTTGTTGTTGAGCTTTCCAGCTCTCTGGCGCAGGCAGGCGCTTGCACTGTTTTTTTGGGTAAAATTCTTACTGCACATGCTTATAAAGCGTACTGACAGCAGAATTATAGTATGACAAGATTTCTGTGTCTGCGATGAAAATTATTTTGAATTATTCAAGAAATCCTGTATTTAAAGAAGTACTGTTGTAATAAAGACACTAATCTGAGAGCAAATGTCTCGTGGGTCTCTACTAATCTGATCATCATCTCCATCCGGATTCGGGCCATCTTTTGGACCATGGAGGGTCAGGTTTAGCGTAGACCAACACACTGATCTATTATAATAATACTTAGTTGTTTTTGTCTGTCATGATAATACGATCTTACTATCTAAATACGCATGCGCGCACACGTCATTTCCGTAACAGACACACGAACAAGCCTATTACTACACAGATATAATTATAAATAATAATAATAATATATTTGAGTTTTATAATAAAAATAGTATCTAAAAATCCTCAATACATTTTAACAGTCTTTATCAATGCTTAGAACGATATGCTTTGAGCCACTCTTTGTATCACTAGCATTATGGATATCAGTAAGCCTTGTCATTTAAAAACCGCATTGGTTAGATCTCATTCATTTTTTGTGCATCATCAACATAATGGATCTTATATTATCAAGAAGCACTCTTTTTAATAGTACTTTATTATAGTTAAACTGTGTGACGTGTTCTGTTTACCGCACCAAGAAAAGATAATAGGTTTTACATTATTAATAAGCATTGTTATCAATAAGAACATCATTGTTAAAACCACGTGATCTGTTTGCATCATAAAGATAATAGGTTTTGTATTATAATTAAGGGCCCGTCATGGCAGGGTGGTTAGGTCGCTCGACTCGCAATCTGAGGATCGCGGGTTCGAATCCCCGTCCCACCAAACATGTTTGCCCTTTCAGCCGTAGGGGTGTTATAATGTTACGATCAATCCCACTATTCGTTGGTAAATCAATAGTCCAAAAGTTGGCGGTGGGTGGTGATGACTAGCTGCCTTCCCTCTAGTGTTTCACTGCTAAATTAGGGTCGGCTAGCGCAGATAGCCCTCGTGTAGCTTTGTGCGAAATTCAAAACAAACAAACAAACAAAAAATTATCATTAAGTATTGTTATCAGTAGGAATTTCGTTGTTAAAACCCATTAATATTTTGCCATTTTCAAGACTCGATAATTTTATGTTTCTATTAGGCTTGTGTTCGAATAAGAACTTTACTGAGTGATGTGGGTGGACTAACACACCTTACATTTTATAAAGTAATTCTTAACAATCATGAAAACTACTTGAACGCATGTTGTTATTTCCAGGTTTTTATAAATTCACTCTTCTAAACCAATGATAAATCTATTTTTTGAAACAGAAGAGCCTGTATTAGAAGTTCTGACCATTCCTCCAAGGTCTGAAGAGTCCGAATTAAGCTTACCCTTCTTCTTGGATGTCACCATAATCGTGCCTATTGTCACTTCAGTTGTTATTATCATCATCATAATAGTTGTTGGCTGTGTTCTGTGTAATAAAAGAAGTTTTCATCAGAGCACTAGCAGCGGTGAGCCTTTTCCCATCCTACATCTATTCTAAACTAACTAGAGATGTTAAAGAGCATTTTCATGAGTGATTTGGTTTGATTGTTGTTAAGTTACATACAGTGTTATTTGTGTTCTGCCTACCAAGGATATCGAAACATCGTAAGCCAGCAGATTTTTACAGTAAATTATAATGAAGAGAATAAATTTTACCGAGACAAATATATAATGAACTTCGAGAAATTATTGAAAAATGTGTATTTGTTTTCTGAGTGTATTTAGTAAGCATTTTGAAAGGGTCACTGGTAATCTCAGTTGTCCGGTTTTAGTGTTAATACAATTAACTGCTCTACAGAATCACGTGATGGAAGTATTACAATATACATTAACGTGTCTGTATCGCTTATATCACTTGTCTATATATTTAACAACAATGGACGTGATACTGAATTTTAATAGATCAATCTGCTTTCTAAATATATTTGTTATTACCATTGAACCCTAACACTTGTCTATATATTATATTCAATGATAATTTACTGCCATGAGAAGCAACCAGTATAGTGAAGAAAATATTTAATTACTTCATTACTGCCCAGTCAATAATGGTAAATCAATAAACCGAAGTAATCATAAGATTCTTTCGGAATACTTTAATCTTTCCGGCTAAATTTTGAAGAAACATTACACCAAAGAGAGAGAGCCACTGTTATAAACACCCAGTGAATTGTTGTTGTTATTAAGTACAAAGCTACACAAAGGGTTATCTGTGCTCTGCCCATCACAGGTATCGAAACCCGGTTTCTAGCAGTATAAGTCAGCAGACATGCCGCTGTGAGGGTGGTAATTACATTTACGCTAAGTACATTTATTTTATGCCCCTAGTGGCACAGTGGTATGTCTGTGGACTTACACCGCTAGAAACTGGGTTTTAATACCCGTGATGGGCAGAGTACAAATAGCCCATTGTATTGCTTTGTGTTTAACTACGAACGATCATTTATTTTATTATAGTGTTATTTATTTTTTATAATGTCTTTATTAAACACAAAATAATACCAAAGAAATCAAATTATAGCGTACAATATAGGCTTCATCTGGTTGCTCGAAAAACAACAAAAACATTATATTACTTCTAAGAACTTATGATTGAAAGTAAAGAGAACGTATAATAATATGTCAATCATACTAATATCTATGGCCCGGCATGGCAAGGCGTTTAGGGTATCGACTTGTAATCTGTGGGTCGCGGGTTCGAATCCCCGTCACACCAGACATGCTCGCCCTTTCAGTAGTGTGGACATTATAATGTGACGGTCAATCCCACTATTCATTAGTAAAATAGTAGTCCAAAAGTTGGCGGTGGGTGGTGATGGCTAGCTGCCTTCCCTCTAGTCGTATAGTAACAAACTAATATCAACCATATTCAGTGCCGACAAAACTGTATAAAAACAACTGTTATGAAGTGAAAATTTTATCACTTTTATATTGGTCATTTTTCCAATCAGAATCAGAGTAAGGATTAATAACAAAGTATTATTTATTATTATATCATTAATATTGTTACTTGGTTTGTTTATTTGTTTTGAATTTGGTGCAAAGCTACACGAGGGCTATCTGCGCTAGCCGTCCCTAATTTAGCAATGTAAGACTAGAGGGAAGGCAGCTAGTCATCACCACCCATCGCCAACTCATGGGCTACTCTTTTACCAACGAAAAATGGGATTGACCGTCACATTATAACGCACCCACGGCTGAAAGGGCGAGCATGTTTGGTGTGACGGTTGTTACTTGGATTAACTTTACAAGAGGTCCAAATTATAATCTTTTATATGTAATTTACTATGTTCTTTCTTGTTATACCACCGATGCATCTAGTGTTGAGATATGACACCACTCAACAAAATTAAGTAATACAAAACGAAAATCATAAAAAATGCGATTTAACTACAATGTTAAGAAACATTATCGAGAAGAGAGTTATATGTTTATTGTTTATGTAATTTATGTTCAAGTTGATCCTTCAATAACGAGAAATAAATAAACCTGAACAATGACACGAATGCAAGTAAAAATGATGAACTCCTAACATACCATAAAAATCGTTGGATTTATCAGAAGGATCCAGAAATTCACAATTTAAGTCCAGACGAGCCGCGGAGACTATGGTTCTGAAGGAAATAGAAGCGCCACCTAACCACGGATGCATGTCAACTGGAATTTCCAGTGATGATGGAACACAAAGATCGTCATCATCCAGTCAGTCTCGTCCTGCTTCATCAGTAATGCCATCTGCCGGTGGTAAGCGTGTACTTCGATTTCTCTCTAACAATAATAGCACTTTTAGGTATAATTGTCTTGACAGTTATTGGATATATTTAGATTAAGCATTTATTTTTGTTTATCTCTTCATTTAAAAACCAATAGGGGAAACTAAGCATGTCGTATATACCTAGTATGGATTGTTCTTTCCTTAATCGGATCTACGTGAGAAAGTGAATTTGGTTGTCAAACGTCGAATTCAGTTAAAAAATTACACATTTAATTCTTTTTCTTTTGATTCTTGCCATTTTCTTTACTTTATCAGTTATGATGCTAACACAAATGTATTATATTTCTTGTTGGATCGTAAAAGAAATCATTGCGTTTTTGTCTCGATGCCATGGGATCATCATCTAAAAAAGGACCCGTTGTTAGTCTAAAACTTGCAAATCATTCAAAAACTTCTTAAATTTTGTTACAGCTAATATTACCCTCCCCCAAAATGAAATCTTCCAAAACTCTGAAATCCAAATTTCACCAGTTTTGTTACCAGGGGACGACGAAGGTCATCCTTACGCAACTCCTTACGACACAGTTCATGAGCATCGTTTAGGGGACCCGGGAACTTCAGCAATTCGGACCTTGAACAGAGGATTCCGGGATAAACGTGGGGACAATCTCTACATCAGCAGGCAGGTAAACATGGACAATATCTTATCGACGAGGTAAATCAGTGTTAAGTTCAATAAAGTATTTAATTCGGTTCTTTGATATAAAAAAAAACAATAGATACGTAAATCTTTAATCATTGAGACATTATCCAACTTCTCCTTTCTCAATTTTTTTTCCCCTTCTACTTTTTATTTATAAACCCTAAAGATGCTGGAAACTAATGGCATGAGATAAATGTTCGCAAATACTATTTTCTCTCTCTCGTCGTATTCATTATTGATTTTATCTGTGAAAATTTACTAACTTCTTATTTATTGAGACAATGGTAAGTTTACGGAATTACAATGCTAAAAGCCGGGATTCGATTCTCGTGGTAGACACAGCAGATAGCCCAGTGTGGCTTTGCTCTAAAACAAACAAACCAAAGCTATTTCATTTTTGAATACTTGTTGAAGAATATTTTATTTGTACTCTGTATATTCTTTACTATCAAAGATTTAGGCTTAGCTAGCTTTCTAATTAAAAAAAAAACGCCTAAAATTTAGTTCAGTTATTTAAATGTAAGCTAAAAAATTCCCACACCCTCTTCTCAGTCTTAAGCACATGATAACGAAGAGTTATTGTTATTTATTGGTAATGTTCAAGATCTAACTTGCATTGTTACTAGATTTCAAACACATAAAACAAATTTAAAGAAAGGAACTATTGTTACTTTGGATTTGAAGCTTTTGAGGGTCATATTATAACACTATAATAAGAGTATAGAACTATCAAATATTTGAAGATCGTAAATCAGAATACTGGCATAAATGTATCAAGTTTTTATAAGTTGAACACAATAAGTTTTTAAAATTCAGTTGTGAATCAAAGGTGAATTACTGTAGTAGTGTTCAGTACACATGAAACTTATTTGTTCTTATTCCAAACGATCTTCATAAAACACTAGTCAGTCACTAGATGGCAGCAAAGCCCAACTTTTGTATAACTAGTTTGTATTTAAGTCTACCGAGTGAAAAAATGATTCACATCAAACTTAATATATACTACATGTGTTTATATCTATATTTTAGATATATCAGATGGTTCGAAAATTTAGCGAATGAAAATCTTTTGAATTCAAAATTTGTATTTATTTTTACTGATAATCAAGAAACCCTTTTGTCATTCAGCAAATTCTTGTTTCAATGAATTGCATTAAGTGCCTTCTAACTTCAAGTATTTAATCATAATCACATAAATATACTTTTTATACCTCTCTGTCACCTTTAATAGCGTACTTTTTTAAAGGGCGAATGTAACGCTTACAATAAACAAAAAGCAGCAACATGTAAATAAATTACGAAGCTAATCAGGCTTGTAGCGAGAAATTTAAGTTTACATTATTGTTTTTCCGTCATGTTAGAACTTCCTTTTCTCACCAGAAATAACTTAAACACATTTTGTTAAGACTACTCTAACGAATATGAACTATAATATAAAACAGTAAACTTTCAAAATTTAGACAATCACTAGCTGTAACATCAACAAAAATTCAGTCGACCCTCCAAATAAAAAGCATTAATAACTTTAATATTTTTGTTTCTCTTTTTATGCGAGTTCTTTTGAATTATTCGATGAAAAATAGAATGTAAAGTCCAGTCCACTTAGGCCTAATTTCCCAAATAAGACTAAACAGTCACTTATTTGCTAACTTGTTTCGTACCTACGATATTTTTCCATATTATTAACCTTCGTTCAAACATAAATCAATTTTCACTAACCTGAAGTAATACTAATAGATAGACCAATAACAATTTCGCTAATACAGTAATCAAGAAACGAGTTTCTTATACCTGGCATTTTGATATAGTTCAAATCGTTACTACATTTTCAAGAACATTTTAATCATGTTTTGTCACGCCCTCATCACGTGAGGTTAAAAACGTACTTTAGTCAAAAATAAACAAACGTCTAAATTAGAAAATAAAATATGGTTTGCAATACAGCAATAGTACCAAATTATGAAGCCCCTTGAACAACCCTATCGCACTAAAAAAATAAAAAATAAAACGCTAAATTCATAATTACCTAATAAGCAATAATGTAACTCTTGACAATTAATAATATTAATATTCATAAATCTAGCATAACAATAATTAATCATTACTGAAGTATGTAAAACATCACGTATAGTCACAATTTGGGTTAATTAACAAAAATACCAATTTCTTTACTAATGTGGTGTCTCTAAACTGTTCTGTTGTTGAAAGGTTTTGTTTTTGGGTTTTCCCGTGGTTTATGATAAGAAGATGGGATAGCCTCCTACCCTTTGTTAGAAAATAGTTACACACTATTACCAGCCCCTTCCCCCGCTGGCTCAGCATTAAGATTTAAGGTTTTAACACTAAAATCTGGGGTTCAATCTCTGCAAAAAAAACAACTTGGGTAACCCATTTTGAGCCTTTATACCTTACAAAAATTATTTAAAACTCTAAGGTCTCTTGTTTAACGAACCTCATTAATGTTTTACTAAAATATTATAACATAACTTGAAACAATTTTATTGGCTAAGAACATATTCCGGAAGAATACTTCTATGTAGCTGCAATTTTCTTTTTCAATTTTTTTTTGTTTGTTTCTTCTGAAGATTCTGGTGAATTTGTTTTTATGCTGATTTATCAATTGTTTCGGCTAGGACTGTAGTTTTAGGAGCGCTTATTAGCGACGACTGCGTTTTTCTACAAAAAAATATTAATAGCAGAGAATAATTTATTTGAAATGAATGGTAAATTTTTCCTGAGCCTTTGGCTGATTAGGTTTACAGATTTTTTACATTACGCCCGTTAACAACGTTTCGGTATATCAGAAGCTTTTACTCAGTATTGTTTTTATTCTTCTTTCGAAACAGCAATGCCGTCCAGATAGACTTTACGAAGCCTTGAAACCAAACTTTCTTCCTCCACCAATACCACTGGAGCCCCCTGGAGACGAAATGTTTCTATATGCCAGAGACACGTGACCAATACGTGTAGTTTGTGAGCCTTGTTTTGTAAATATGTTGTTGTTGTTGTTTTTTTTTTCTCTTTCTGCTTTTGTGGGAATGTAAGCATATTTTGATGTGAAACGTGGAAATTGTATTGTAAAATAAATAATTTCTTTAAAATATTCAAGTTTCATGGGAATTGTATTTAAAGAATACACTGGTTGGAAGAAGTAATGACGAAATATAACAGTTTGAATTCAATAAGGCTAGAGAAGTAATGACGAAATATAACAGTTTGAACTCAATAAGGCTAGAGAAGTAATGACGAAATATAACAGTTTGAACTCAATAAGGCTAGAGAAGTAATGACGAAACATAACAGTTTGAATTC